GTTTTTTTGCATACTGCTTTTGCCAATTTTTCACGTAGTGTTTCGGTTCACTAGGTGTTTGTCTGCTCAGGAGCGTTGAACTGCGTGTCTCCGCTTTCCTTCTCAGCACAGCCGCCCTCCTGGGCTCTTTTGCAGGGAGATGCTGGTCTGTGTTGATGGTTTTTTCCTGCCCTGTTTGATGTCTGAGCACCGAGGCAGATGCTTTTTTTGTCAGGTGTTCCTCTTCTCACATGCCGTACGAGCGCGGCACCCCAGCGTTACCTGGCGTGGGGAGGGGGAACAGAACAGTTGCCTTTCTAAGTCTGAAGTGCAGGAGCCTGGCCTTTCTGCCTGGCTTTGAGAAGGTGTCAGCAGAAAAGAGATTATGGGCAGCAGCTTGGGACATATCCAACTTAAAATTTAGAGCACCAAATAGGGGCACACAGAGGGATGTTTATCCTCAGTTCCAGCTTCTGTAGTAGCGGCGAGGGCACAGGGGACGTGCTGCCCTGTTGCATTCAGGGTACCCAAGCTCTGCAGGCTTTGCCTCTGCTTTTAGGCAGGAAAAACTGAGTATTTTCAGGGAATGCATCTGTTTGGTACTCGCTGCCAGCTAGCGGGGAGTTGGAAGGGCAGCGATTTGGTTGCCTGTAAATCACCTGCGTTTTGGGAGCTCTAGCATCAACGCTCAGTTTCTGAGCGTGTGGTCCAGCAGATCTTTTGCCAAGTCAGGCTGAGGCTGTAAAGGGGGCTCAGCCCTCCAGCACCACCCAGCACTGGCACCCCTTAACTCAGCAACACTCAGATCTAACTATCCGAGGGAGAAAAAAGCTACATAAAGGAGGCATTCGAATAATAAATAGGTATGATGCATGCACAGAAAGGCTTTAGCTTGGTTACTTGCGTGGACCTTTCCCCTTAGACTGTGTCCTCAGCCACCGAGGCTGAAAATCCCCCGAGGGGTTTTCCTCTGGGGTCCCCGGTAGCCGCCAGCAGCCCATGCCGGCAGGGTCAAGGTGCCCGCTGACCCAGCGGGAGCGTTTTGCCCCACAGACACCTGCAGACTTGGGTCTTTAGATGTTAGGAGCAGAAAGTCTTTTGTTTGCAACTTTCCCTCTGTTGTTGCAAATATTGACGATTCTCGGCCAGCTTATGGTGCTCCTCACAGGAGACGTTTCAGACCAATTTTCTACTTTAACAGTATTTCTTAGTAACTATGAAATTGCTCAATAGTATGAGATACTACCAAATAATAAGCTTTTCATCTGGTGTTCACGTTTGTTCTTAAACATCACTCCCCTGTTGTAAAGCTTCCTCTTATTTTTGCTGTGAGGCCACCGTCCATTGAACTCCTATTCCTGCCCAGCTGGCGTGAGTTCTCAGTGAGAACGTGTGTGGCTTCACTCGCAAAAGCTTTGTCACATGAGCATGATCTTGTACCGAGGAAGTTATATACCTGCGTGCTTCTCCTGACGCAGGCTGGACTTAAAGATTTTAGTATTTCAGTTAAATTCCTTTTGTCTTCAGTGTTGCCTTTCAGGATTTATCTGTTAGGTTTTTTAAAACGTAGGTGGGGGGAAAAAAAAAAAATTTATGTAGAAATGACATCCAGTTTTGGCCAGGCAGGGAGGGGATGGGGAGGAAGGGCAGTTTCCGGGGCAGGCTGCAGGCACCATCACACTGTCCCTGTGGGACGCTGTCGGGGCATCTCTCACGGTGTGCCCTGGGTTTGGGCTGTGTGGGGAACACACACAAATATCCTACTTAAAGTTATCAGTTTGAAGCCACGCACACCTGCAGGTGAGACCCGTCTGCCTTCTCCTTTTAACGGGATCGCAGGTCCCCAGGGTAGTTGTTTAGTGCCCAGTCATAAAAATTGGTCAGCTCTTGCATGGGCGATTATTTTCCCACCAAGGTCCCTGCCAAGACCTTGCCGTGCTGCCCACGCTGCCACAAGTCATACTTGTCTTCGTTTACCTAATTCTAGATGACTCGAACCAGCCAGTGATGTCACTGTCGAACTGCAGCTGCGGAGATTCCTGCAGCAATAGCACCACATACAGAGTCACTGTTTCACTTTCTTGCAGCAGGAGCATTTTTAAACAGCTGAACTGCAATGAAAAGGTGACATATTTTTTAAATGACCTAAAAAAAAGTCAAAACACCTTTTAGTAAAAGTGTTCAGCCCTCCTTGGACCTCTCCCTCAGGTCCCCATCTCCTCCAGCAGCGGTATGGTTCCTGGGCCCACCAGGCACGTGGTGCAGTTCTGTGTCACAGAGGAATCCTGCTCTATTTTACTTTTTTTTTTTTTTTTTTTTTTTTTTTTAAAATTTTAAAATACGGCCCACAGGTAGGTTACCCAAACACCCAACATCCACTTCAGAAAGCCACTTCAATGCACTGAATATGGAGTGAATTCTTTCCCTACCCTTTTATTGTTTTTATGTGAAAATGTCTTGGTTAAAAAACTTAATTTTGAAGCTTACCATGACCAAAATACATAACATCATCACACTGCACTTTCACGGTAAGAAATTACTGTCTCAGATATTTCATTTCATAGCCAGAATTATTCTTTTCTTCTTTTTCTCACAATTTCCCAAGGAAATTAATTCTTGCAGAGCTGGGGAGTTTTTACAATCATCAGTATTTTAATACTTACTTCACTGCAAGGCGAGACAAAGATCGACAGAAATACTCCCCACCTCCTGTGTGAACTCCCCCATCACTGCAGGAGGACTGCAGATAACGCTGCTGACAATTCTTCTTAAAATGACGAGCATTAGTGTGACGATGCTCTTCAAAGGTTTACACACAAGCAGGACTTCACTACAGGCCAAGCAGTATGTGACAAAACACGTCAGGTTTTAGCAAGGCATTCAAAGTACCTTCTTCCTCCGTTCAAAATCCCTCTTTCTGGACAGAGAGCAAATCGCAGCGGACGTGCCGTCCTGCTGTTGGATTCATAATCCACACAGGAGGGGTTTTCCACCCCCAAAATGCTCTAAGGTTGATGAAATCATCCGGTTGCTTTGATGGCATAAAACGTATGGAGACGTTAGTCCTGGTCTGAGAGAGGAGTCGAGTCAGGTTGTGGTTTGAAGCTCCGGCACGGGCTGGTGGGTGGAGGGCACAGGAAAACCTTGCCGTGACACCTCTGAACCCCGGGGAAACCCCAGAGGTGAATTGGATTTCCCCACGTATTGCCCTGTATCATTTTATGAATTCCCTCGTGTATAAAATGTTTATAAATATTTGTGGATTAAGATACACAGGTCTATTTTTAAGATTTAAGTTAAATAAGTTAATTAAATGGCTGGCCTTTTTTGCCTAAACGTGCAATGAGATATATTATACCTTTAGTCTACGATGGCCTAGGTACTGCTTAGTCTGTGATGAAAACTTTGCTGCTTACCTACTGTTCTCAGAGAAAAAAAAAACTGTAAAAGACATACAGGTTTGTTGCACACGGACTATCGCAGCAAAGCTTTGTATTTGACCACTGGTAATATGAATGTGTTGTATTGACTTGTTGAAGATAATCATGAAACAACATATTTTAAATGTTACTTGCCTTATAGATTAGAATACGACTATGTGGATATCATTTTTGTAAATAATGTTTTTTATAAATGTCTCTCCTCCATTCTCCCCGTCACCCATTTCAGAAAATCTTGAATATGCAATTATTTACCATGCATAATGTTGCAACAAATAAATCCCCACATCAGAACAAAGTTTATTAATTCTATACATAAGAACTACATTAAATACCCGATTGAGTTGCAATTTAAATGTGAATTTTTTTTTCCTTGAAAATAAATGAAAAATGTAAAACTCTTCATTGTCCGAGTGAGCTTTGCTTGCATGTGCAGGAGCAGCCGGAGGAGCCGGGCTGAGGTGTCAGGGGCTGCCGTGTCCCCAGCCCAAAATGTCATCGCTGCTGGAGCTACGCGCAGCTTCCCGGCCTGGGGACAGGTCGGGGGTGGCATGTGGGGACACGTGGGGATCCCCAGGGACCATGGGGACGGATGGAGCTCGAGGGGATACATGGGGGCTGCGGGGACATGAGGGACCGAGGCTGTGGGAGCTCGTGAGAGATGAGGAGGACCCGTGGAGGCCACGGGGACACGTCAGGGCCATGGGGAGACAGGGGGGACTGCAGGCACAGGGGGGTACCCAGGGGGGCTGAAGGGACCTGTGGGGTCCACGAGCATCCCAAGGGACCACGGGCACCTGTGGATGCCTGCGAGCAGCTGGTGCCGGCAAGTTGAGGCCTGTAACCATTAGTGATCCATTATACCTTAAATATTAAGAAATCGTTTTATCAAACAGTGTTTAACTTTGCATTTAACAAGGCCTAAGTGATTAAAATGTACAAAGAAAACACCCTCGCTTTGACCACAGATACATCCTGGCTGAAATGCTCAAAGGCGGCGGATAAGAAAGATCATCTCGGCCGGACAACGGAGTTGGGAAACATCCAAGGAGAATAAACTGTTCTCAAAAAACTCGTGATCATAAAAAGGAAAAAGGAGTAGGGGGGGGGGGGGCTAACTCCCCAAACGACCACCTGAGACCCCCGTGCGTGTGTAAATCTGCAACGCCAGCACGACGCAAATGTAACAGGCAGAAAGGTGGAGACTTCTTGGAAAATTTTATACATATTTATGTCTTTAAGGTATATAAAGGCTCAACTTTTAGCGTTGATCCCCCCCCCTCCTCCGTTCACGCAGCGCTGCACTGCAGAGTGCCTTGCCTTCTAAAATTTCAAACTAAGAGGTTTCATTTGAGACCGACTTCGTGGTGACAGCGTGTGGGGGACCGTCGGGACACAGGTGGGGAGACACGAGCCACGGCGACCTGTGGAGGTTGCAGGGACCCTTAGGAGCCGTGAGGATTATAAAGGAGCTGTGGGGAGGCCACGGGGAGCCATGGAGACTGCGGGGAGATGGAAGGAGGGGGGGGGAAGCGGAAAATGGCGGCGACACCCGCTCGGGCTGGGCGGGAACGCGGCGGCCAGCCCTTAGCAACGGTGCTGGGATGCATGGCGGCACGGCCGGCGGAGACCCCCGCTCAGGTAAGTCTGAGGGAACTCAGGCTTCAGCGCGGTGGTGGGGTTCCCTCAGGAAAAAAAAAACAACCCACAACTTTAAACTCACCTCCTGCCTCTCAGGTCCCCCCAAACGCTTCCCGGTGGCGGTGGTGGATGATATCCTGAAGGATGTGTTGGGGAGTTACCTGAGGGAGCAGCGCTACGAGCCGGGTCGGTGCAGGGAGATGGCGAAGGACGTGGCTGAGGTACCGCCGTGCTGGAGGCGCGAGGCGGCCATTTTGTGCTCGAGGCCTCGACGGGGTGTCGGGGTGGGGAGGGCCCCAAATATTAAATATAAAGTGTAAAACAAATGCCGGAGGAAGGCGTCAATATGCGTCAGGAGCTGCTCTGAGGCATGTGCAGGTTTATACGAGGTTAAGGATGAGGTTTGTTCGAGCAATGGTGGCCAAGCACACGGTTCAGTAAAATCTCCATGCTGTGACTGCCCCCTCCAGAAATGCCATTAGTAACTTTTAAGCACGTATCAGAACTTTCCAAACCAGGCCAGTGGGGATGCATGTACAAGCTCCTCATCAGTTAAACTGCTGAGGAGACACTACCTTGACCCTTTATTCTTTCACCTAATTTGGTCCAGAAGAGTGTCATAGGTAGCAAACCAGTTCATCAAATCCAGTAGGAAGACAACAGAAAAGCAAACGGTCATACGAACTATTGTGTGTTGTGTAATACTAACAGCAAATGTTTAATTGAATTAAACATTATAAGTGTATATGGTGACAGGAAGAAAGGGGGGGGGGTGAACAACAAGAGAAGGAGCATCCGCACTTCAAAGAGGTGTGAAGAGTTGCAGACGCCCAATGAAGCCGACAAGGGAGTATTCCCGACCATAAATCTCCTTATTCAAGGAGACTGCTGGGCCTGGGCTGATAAGGACACTGCAGACTTGGTGGATCATCACATTCCAGGCCAAGGGTGAAAAGTACACTGTGAGGAGGACCTGCGGCCTTCATCCCAGACGACCACCGCCCATAATTTAGAGACCCTTACCTGTATTTTTGACAGCTTCTGCGCAAGCGTAAAAGACTGATAAGCTAATTACCATACACAGCGGGAGTAGGCGGGGTTAGGTAATGTATATGTATAGGCATTTAATGAATATGCAATGCTTTGTAGTATAAAATTAAGACAAAATTCCTTGAGAGGTGCGGGCCGTTGTTGGAGCAGGAGACTCCCCGGCCGCCCAGCGCTGTTTTGCTTGTTGCCGCTTGCTAAATAAAACTCTGACGCAGCCAAATTTAAGAAGTCAGTTTATAACAAAGAGCTCAACAGCATTAAAAAACCCACGCTGCCTGCTCTCCTTTCCCCTCTGTAATCATAAGGTAACTGAGAGCACATGGAGGAGAATGTGGTCTTCACATACAGCAATTCCTTCCTTAACATCTGTGCTGGCATTTCTGTAGTCCAGCAGGATGGTGTGCCTGTTTTTAGCAGAGGGCTGTGTTGGTTCTCTTGTGAAACGACCACAGCGGTGTACAAGCCACCTGTCGGTGGGGCTGGGGGAGTTTGCAGGAGGTGTTTCGAATGCTGCAGTTCGAAGATTGTCCTTGCAAGGGCTCGGTACTGCGGTGCTTGCACTTGTCTGTCCCAGAAAGCCAAATCCCTGAGCATCCCCTGTAAAGAGAGCTCAGCACTTGTGTCTAAACGTGGTTTTCTCTTGCAGGTTATTAAAGCTCGGGTAAAAGACGTTATGATACCGAGGTACAAGATTGTTGTGGTGACACATATTGGGCAGCTGAATGAGCAGAGCATGCAGATCGCAAGCAGGTGCCTGTGGGATCCTGTGAGCGATACGTTTTCGTCGTATGTGTTCAAGAACGCTTCGCTCTTTGCTCTGGCAAACGTCTATGCTGTCTATTTTGAATAAGGAGGTAGTTAAGTTTCACAGCAGAAGTGAACCTTCAGCCTAACTCTTCCTGTTCCTGTTGTGGAAAACAGCTGTGAAGGACCAAGGCAACTTTCACCTGTTTTGAAATGTGGTTCCCAGAAGTTTTTTGGCAGTGAATGCAATAACTGTATTTCTCAAAGCTTTCTGTGGGAAGTGATTCTCTGTGAAATGCCTTTTTGCACCTGATTCTAGCTGCTTTGAGAACCGAATATCCCTGTAATACTTTTTTCTCCCTGAATCTGCCCTCACTACATGATCCCCAAGTAGAAACCACAGCGGGATTTTGGGAAAGTAAAACAAAAACATTTTTATCCCTGTTTGTGGGCAGTTAGGTTTGTCAGGCCCTGTGGAGTCATCTCTGTGCACACGCTGTGTTGCAGACAAGTGCTGTGTCCTGTCCAGCTGCAGTAGCTCGGTGCTGCAATCACCCTGCCCTGCCTAGGGCATGGAGGGATCCCTCCAAACCTTCCTGCTGGGCCCAGAGTTATCTTGGGTGTGCTCTGTGGCGAGAAGGGTAGAGCTTTGCTCGCCGGGGGCTGGCCTGCCTGCCCCAGAGCCCCAAGAAAAAGCCCTGGTCACAGAGAAGGTGGCCCAGAGAAAGTGGTTAGTTCTGCTTGGAGAAGACTAGCTCAGCCCCATAGTGTTTGAAATGGCTTATTTTATTACATTTTGTGTGCAAAGCTGAAACTAGAACAGTAGTTAGATGGGAAGAAATAGTCGTGACTATAAGTTTAACTGCTGTAAACGCTTTGTGGAACCCAGACAATCCAACCTGAACTGTCGCTGCAGCCGTTGGCTGGTTTGCACTGCAACTTTTAACATTCAGATTTTACTCCCTAGTGTACTCCAAAGAATAAAGCTACAATTAAAGAATACAGCTGAAATCGTTGTGGTCATGATTATTTTAATGCATGAAGGCTGTGACATTGAACCTCATCAGCGTCTGCTGCCTTTTAGCATAGGGAACTGATCTCTCTCTCGCTGCAGCCGATGCTGCAGCAGGATGTGGTAAGCAACTTGGCTACTTCGCGCTTTTTTAGCATAGATGTTTTCCTGGTGCGGTGCAGGTCTCGCTCTGTCTCGGGCTTGATGTTGTGGATTTCTTCAGTGTCAGTCTCCAGCCTCTGGTTTGTGTATGTTGAGGAGTCAGCATAACCTTTTTCTTCTGAGAAGGGCATGGGATTTTCACTCTCTGTCACATAAAAATCAGAAGCTAAAAATTAGAAGTCATGGAATCATGAGCAGTGATACTTATTTTTACTAGAAAGACAGACCAGCCTACAGCCGGGGAGCTGAAAGTATTATGTACCAAATCCCCAACTTCCCACCAGGGCAATATTAAAACAGATATGCAATGCACACATTCTGTGATTAACATGTAAAACCCAGTAATTTATGGATTTATATTGAAGAGTGTTCTTGGGAGGAATAGTTGCCTTATCAGTCTTACACTGATGTATTTGCTTTGAAGAGTAAAACCATTATTTGGTGTGTTGGTGGTACTTGACCAGCACTTTACTCTGGAACTGCTTGTGGGTTTCCTGAAATGCAGGTATCATGTTAAGGCATCAGATACCCCACATTTTCAGAGTTCCTGGATGTTCCCGCTTAAAACACATGTGAATTTTGAGCATAATTTAAGTACTGCAGTACTCCTGGGCACTAACTTGTGGAGTTTACAAAGGTACGGTAGTTCTCTAGCTTAATTTATCAGCAGGGGTTTCTTCTCCTTTAACAGACTCAGGTAGCGTGTTGCAGGTGGCATGGCTTTTTATGTTTGTTTAAAGCTGCTACTACAACAGAATTTTCAAAACAGGCAGATGTTACTGCATTGAGAGTGTAGAAAGCCTCTGTTCCTGTCATCTGCCTCATTTATTTTATGTTTTCTAGTTACTTTAAGCTATCAAGAGTACAGGTTTTTAGCAGTGCATGTAATGGTTGAATTTTCTGACTTTAAAAATATAAATATATACAACATCATGTGAAGTTACTTAAATTGCAGAGTGTATATTCAACATATTTTAATTATAATATTCTTAAGTTGTAATAAAGTTTCTGGTTTCTAGTGGGGAAAGCGGTTGAAGATCAAGAGTAAAAAAAAAACTTGCACTGACTGCCGCCAAGCTTGTCTCTGACATTTAAAATGTCACGACACACAGATTTTCAGTGGCAGCCTTGGGCTTCGCTTCTCGTTCCTGGGTTGACTTGGGAAACCTTAATCTTAAATGTTTTTTTTATGCAGCGCTAAGCTCAGCCGAGCAAGCTGAGGTTGCAGCAGCTCGCTGGCTGCCTCAGAGCAAAGCCCTTTGTGCCAGAGATGTGTGTTGTTTGGGGGAGTGGCAGGAGCTGGGGTACAGCCCGCAGGTGAGCGGGTGCTTCCAAATCCCCTCAGAGGTAGGCATTAATTAATACATTAATAAAGGTAATGCATTAATTAGTACTTACCAAACAGGTAGTGATAATCAGTCAAATGCCTTTTCCACCGGGAGCCGCCGCAGGTGAAGACGACGGCTCTGACAAAGTCCCTCCCGCAGAGCTTCACGGTGTTTCCTTCGCCTCTTCCTTGGCAGGCCGTGGCCAGGAGAGCCAGCGAGGCCAGCACCAGCACCGCAGCCCTCATTCTGCAGCGGCCCCACGCCCAGGCCGGGTGTTGGCAGGGCAGGAGGGAGCTGTAGAGCCGAGATGGGGAGTTTGGCAGAAATCCTCTCATTTATACTGAGGGCCCATCCGCTCCGCTGGGTAAGGGCTCGTTCTGGGGATGACTTAATGTTTGCTAAAAACAAGTTAATCGCTTGTTTCCGGTAGTGTTTTAAGTGCTTTGGGATTTTGGTCAGGTATTAAAGACTCCTTAGGACGGTATAACAGCTTTACTGTAGGAACATGTGTAGTATAACATGTTTATAGGGTACAGGCTTAGATCAATGCCATTAATGTGTATGTTCTGCAGAAGTGAAAGGGTGTTTATTACATGATTTGCAGATAATGGGTTTTGTCTCTGTGTGCTTCCCACACAGCTGTGCTTCCGTAGCCTGTTGCCCAGTTGTGCCCATTGCCACAGTTAAAGCAATGTTGGGGCTTTTTCTGTGAGTGATGCCAAACTAAAATGGAGTTAGCTCCTTCCAGTGATGTTGGCAGTTGTGTACTCTTCATTACCCCCTGCTGCCTTCCCTGGTCAAGCTGGCAACTGCGGACACATTAGAGGAACCTGCTGGTCCCATGCCCACGAGAAAACCAGGTACTAAGGGGGAGTTTGTGGCAAATATCAGCTTCCAAGCCTCCAAATGTCCTACTGTGATTCCTGGTGTGCCGAGTGATAGGATGTGGATCCCCCAGCACACAGAGCATTGAAGCTGTAGTAAACTGTACAGAGCAGCGTAGTTGTTTGACAGCTCGGGTCCGTAGGTATTCGCCTCACAGCCACTCGATCCAGTGGAGTAACTCTACTGCCCCTGCACAGCCTGCAGCGAGGCCTGTGGGTATGGCCCTTGTCTGAAAAGGCATGGAAAAGAGAGGGAGAGTCTCTAAACAAGACACAAAAGAGCTCCAGATCGGCATCCTGGCCATCCTTTTCCTCTTGGTACTACCTGAAAGACAGAAGTGGGTTCCCCAAAGTAGCGTGGAGTCGTGTTAACTCTGCTCTGGGACCAGTAGATCAGTTAGGAGAAAAGTCCCTTCCTATTGCTTGGGATGTTGTTGGCTACAGTTGCTGTCTATAAAAAGTTCTTGCAATAAAATGCCTTAAGGAGAAAATTTGACAATTATGAGGTCAGAAATTCCATGCTTAAGAACAAAATACATGAGGAACTTTGGAGATCTTTAGCACTTCCTAGCACCACAAGTGTTTTCCAGCACCATAATGTTACAGTTAATTAGTTTACACGATGTGCAGGGTGAATTACGATGTGTTACAGCCTTGACAGAAAGCTCATTTTTTACCAGTACCATCGGTAAGTAAACAGTCATAACCACCGATGGAAAATATATGGTGTATTTTGTTCAGATTTGTAATAATGATTAACACATGATTCACCCTAATGTGTGTCTTTCTTTGAAATGCACAAAGATTAATTTTATGTCAAGGGTAAGCTTGCATGTTCACTGTAAAATGTGCCAAACGCAGAAGGAAGTGAATGTTAATGCATCACAAATCATCTTTAACTTCAGTGATGTGTTTAAATGTCGGACATTTATTGTCAGGCTAATGAGAGAGTCTGAACGTTCTGTATCTATAAAATACACGTCTCGCTCCACTGTGCTGTCAGGAGCAGGCAGAGCCAGGCTTTTGTATCGCCGGGCGGCCCTCCTGCGCTCCCAGGCAAGAGGCCTAAGCCTAGATCGTAGTCTTGACTACTCTTCTGTAGCGATGCTCCATCTTCCAGTGAGCAGTCTCTGAGAATCCTCAGAGACCCTGCGGTGGCTCGCTGGGTGCTTTTTGCTGTTTTTTCTGAAATGGCCCCCAAAAAGACAGCTTAGCCAGCTGAGCACTGCTGCTTCCAACCAGTGTGGCCTGAGCAAGCATTCCCAGCAGCTTTCCAGCTGCCAGGGCTGGGCATGGGGAGGTGGTGAGATCCCCAAAAATGCACAGCTGGCTGCTGGAGCTGCAGAAGTCAATCCTTGCTCTGGGACCACCCTGTTAGCTCCTGTGAGGAGCTTTCTGAAAAGTGTCATTGTGGAACAGAGTGAATTTAAACTGCGATTTTACATTATCCTGATTTGTTGGGGGGTTGAAAATGTGGGTCTTGGCTTTTGCCTGGTGTGAGATGATCTGTAGGTCGCAGGAGCCCTCGGTGCCCCTCAGAGCTTGGCTGTCAGCCCCAGCGGTGGTGGGTGGGATGACAGATGGGATGGCTCTGATCAGAAGGACGGTCATTTACTACACGATTCCACAGGGGAGATACAGACTACATCAGGTAAGGACTTTGGCATTTTTGCTCTTTGAGTAACCCAAGGAGAAGAGACCTTGGAGGAAAAAAAAAACCCAAAGAGAAAACACTATGGAGACACTTCTTACTGGTATTACAGGGAAGGCCTTGTCTAATGAGGGGGGAGATTTACAGCATTTGAAAGAAGTTCCTAACCAGTAGGGTTTCAAAGAGAAACTTTTTAATGATTGAAAAAGAACAAACAGTTGATGTTAATGCTACAATAAATCTTTTCTTGCTGTTTACCAGCTGAGAAGGGCAATCGTGTAGCTGCTGTTAAAGACCTACAGCAGGACCAATTATGTCCTTTAAGGTATCAACCTGTAGAACAAGAGGGAAAAAAAGAGCTGTATGAGAGTGTAATTGCAGTGTAAGACATGCAGTGATCCCAAATCCTTGTTGATGAACTGAGAACAGAACTGCTTGTGCAACGAGCACCCAGAAAGCAGGTGAAGGTGGTTCGGATCACTGTCTGCTTGGGAATTCTGTTAATACTGTGCTTCCCTCTAACAGTGCTCCTTGAAAACGGGCCTCTGGGTGGCATGTGCAGCGCCACGCTTAGCAGCATTACAAATGTATATCTTGTTTATGAAGGGAATTAATTTTCAAGATGATACACGTATGGTAGCGGTCCAATCGCCCGCGAAGTGATCATTTCCCTTAGCGTTAGTTGTAGCATAGCCCCTGTCGTGCTGAGCCTTGTGCAGACCTAAGCTGAGGAAGACCCTGCTGTTACCAGAAAGGGGAGTGAAGAAGATGGATGGTGCTAACGAGGCTCCATGACTCAGTGGCCACTTATGCCACGTGCCCAAAATCTGTGAAATTGAGCACTGATATTTTCAGTCCTGTTCTGGCGACATAGCCAGAAAATTCTCCCTGTACTCTTATTAACAGAAGAACTCTGCTCAGAGGACTTGGGCTGCTTCGTGGCGATTTGTAGGAAAAAAAATAATTTTATTTTCTAAATTTAGCAACAATGGCCTCACTTCTAGTTTTTAAAGAAACTATCTTTGATGGCTTACAGCACTTAGTAAACGAGGCTGGTAATTACCCGCATTTTAAAATGTGCTAAAAATTGTGAATTATTAATGCTTAATACCCTAAGAATGAAGCTTAGATCAACATCGGCATTTTTGTTCTCCAACTTTTAGTGATTCGCACCCTGTAACTCCGAAGGGGTTTCACGAAGTACCAGGCCTGCTTTACGGATTGGGAAGCCAAGTCCCATAAAGCCAAAGCTACTCGCTCAGAGCTGGAAGGACAGAGGGAGCAGCGCAGTTTGGGGCCACAGGCCACTGGCAGGTAGATCCTGGAGGTACCCAGGGTAGCGTCAGGATTTTGGACCCGGCAGGGGCTTTGGTGTAAATTAGCCCAGATTTATGCAGAAACGCAGAGAAGGGATGCCCAGTTGGCCTTGTACACTGCAGGTGAGAGGGAATCTGTGCAATGGTAGGATCGGAACGGAACCTAGTCTTGGGGCAAGTCAAATCCTCGCCTGTCAGCTAGGAGGGAACAGCCCTCAGTGGGGTAAGGAGCGGGTGCTCGGGGCTGAAGGCAGTGCAGAGCCAGAGGGCTAGCGGGTTTGCTGCCACGGCGAGGCTATCTTGGAGGTGGCCAGGAGAGGGCAGGTCGTGCCTGCCTTCTCAGCAGGTGAGGGCGTCCTGCTATGTGTGTCCCCGCGTTTGGAGGAAGCACCACTTTCCTGCCCTTGCCCCAGTGCCTCTCCCAAACCCATCTGTGGCCAACCTCTGGATTTGCGATCCAGTGAAACCTGAAGTTTGACACTGACTTACCTGTTCCTCAAGTTTCTAGGGGTACGGCATGAAGGAGAGCAGGAACCACCTCAGCTTTCAGCCGGGTTATGGAATCGTGTCTGATTGCACCTATTTCGGTATTTATTAGCAGAAATCCCTTTCTGAGGAACGAAGTAGCAGCCAAGCATGTGGGCCTCTGAGGAGCACCACCTTCTCCCAGTGAGTCGTACCTTATCGCTGGGGGGAGCAGGCAGGTTGTGCAGCTCAAACACACTGACTTCCCCTTGAGTGTCTCCTGCCAGGAGGCAGTCGGTAGTCTTGGCAAAGAGGACAGACGTGAATTTTGCTCCTGGCTTGGCCAAGCAAGAGGTGACGGGGTTCAAGCTGCAATCCAGCAGAGGCAAGAACTAAGAGGTAAGAATGCATTTGCCCGAGGGTACTATCCTGTGAAGTCGAGCAGTAAAGCAGGCCTGAAAATGTTGCATGTTTTACTTGTTATGTTCTAGATTAATTCAAAAACTAAGAAATGAAGCAGTGTTTTGTTTGGTCTCTTCCAGAACAAAAATCCCAGCTGCTATTAACGACAGTATCCTGGTTGCCTAAAATCTGTCCTGTTGCCTAATATGGGGGTGGGGGTGGTGAATATTTTTATTATATGAATAATTTGCTTTTTGGTCCTGCAAGATTTGGTGGGCCTCCTACTCCACTGCAGGCTTTATGATGTCACTAATACTAAATAGTACAGGCCAACAGTACAAGGCTAGGGATTAACTAAGCTGCGCATAAAGTGTGCACCACTGGGAAAACGTGGTAGGAGAACTTCTGACCATCTTATCCTTACAAAAGGTCCAAAGTACTACAGCTCAGTTTTGTTATTTTTCCTTTTACCTATGGCAGTGGTAGAACCTGTGATTTCAGAAAAAAGGCAGTTTCACCCTTTATCGGTTCCATGAAGCATCCAGCTCCTTGTTTTATGATCACAGTTCTCTGGTAACTACCATCTGCTTTTAGAAAAAGTATTTCAAAATACAACACTGGCAATAACTAAGCAAGCAAATGGCATGGAGCTGTCATGATCTGGTAACAATACCCATTAGGCAATAACGTGTAGTCTTTGTGCCATTAAGTTTCAGAATCTCTGAGCAAAGTAATTACTTACGTGCTGACACTAAGATCCCAAACTTCTACTCTGCTTTCATTCACTGCTGCAAATACGAAGGCTGATTTTGGAGACCACATAATGTCATGAACAAAAGCAGGGATGGAAGTGAAAGTTAACACGGGCGTTTGGGAATCCTGGTGCCATAAAATAATGCTCCAGTCTGTAGAGCAGCTTAGGAACGTGTCAGTGCTGAAGGGATTCCAAGCGACTTTGTACACTGGACCCTTGGTGTTTGGGGAGAAACAAGAAGTTTGTGTTAGTCCAGAGAGCTACAGCCTCACAGGATGGTTTTTAAAAGCGACCTTTCATCAAAATCCCTGACCATCCTCTGCCCTTAAACCAGCAAAACCAGCGTTGTGTTACGTGCACCTGTAGGAAATTAGGATGCAGCAGATGTGATAAGACAGGGAAGGTCTTAGGAATAAAAAGCATTTGGCTGATTCTGTCCCTTCACTGGCTGTTATGAGAAGCCAATGCTGAAAGGGCAGCTTCTTGGGTGATGCAGAGACTTTCAAAGAAAGAGGTGCTGTTAAAGTTCTGCAGTCTTTCAGAGGTAAGACTGTTTAACTCTGGTTTGCAGGACAACCAGATTACTGATTGTTTCCTTAAAGTAAAGCCAGAGCTAAAGCTTTAAAAGAGTTTATAATACAAGCTTTAATAAATTACATTAAAAAATCCCCACTTTATAGTGTAGAAAATAAACTTGTACGACTGTGACGCTTTATGCTATGGGAAATTATTCCTAATATAAGAAAATAAATTTACGTTTCTTCTGTTGCAGATGTTTTGCTTAGTAAATAAGCAAAGAAACGATTACATTTGTGACCTTAATTGAACAGTTTCTGCTGTCGTTACTTTTTCTATGTATCACTCACCTTATGGCCTCTGTACGTCTCTAGAAACTGCTCACTGCATGAACAGGAACACTTGTGGATATGACCCTCTTCTGTTCCAGCAAGATAAAAATTAGCATCCTGAAAGAAAGGTAAAAGAAGCCTATGTTAGATTAATCTATTTATTACTGCTCTAAAAATCTGTAAAGGACTGGAGGGGTTTGGCAGTGACAGTCCTCTGAAAAACAGAGGTGGATGGCCAGGATGTTGTGTGCTGGGCTGCACGCAGGTGTGCTGCTGAGGTGTTGGGGGGTACGGAGAGCGGTGCCAAACGTCCTGATGTTCTCCATCTATGCAGAACAGATGCTGTGATTTTTTTGACTGCTGAAAATCCCAGACTTTCTGCAATTCACATTGGCAAATGCATGAATTCTTCAGGTGCTCTGTGGACTAAATATTCAGCTGGATAAAGAGAAGTGTGGCCATCTAAGTCCTAGACTCAGGGGATGTTGCACAGTCAATTTCTCACAGATTTGACCAACACGCAAAGGAAAGTTGCCCTAGGATCTGGCTCAAAGCAAACGTGAGTAACACGGCTGAAGTGACAGCGTTGTTCACAGAGAGGGATTACTTGTTTGGTTTACATATGATCCATTTTGGGTGAAACTGTTATTAGCTAAGAAGGAATTTGTTTCAGAACTAAATATGCTGTAAATACCAATGCCAAGTGCCAGGCTAGTGCATATTAAAGCAGCTCCAGCTGAGGATCTCACCCCTGCTGCACAGTTTTCCTGGATAATATGTTAGCCAGGATAGACTTTTGGAGCCTACCTTTGGATGAAAGTCAAAGCACATTCCAGCTGCCTGTTGAGATATCAGAACTTCTTTTTTCCTTTCTTTCCCACCTGGTAATTTTTTCTTCTCACTTTCTGTTCGCTTTATTTTCATCAGATCTGTACAAATAGCAAGAGTTTTTGTCAAACAGGTCTGTGACAGTGCTATGAATAACTCATGCTGCTTTGGAATTCTCAACAGCTCTTAAATGTTTTGTGTAGTATGATAACTGGTAGAAAGAATGTCACCTGAAATAAAATGTAGCAACTGCAATTTCAGGTATTATCCCTCTGCAGAAAAGCTGCAGGGGAAAATGCTTACCAGTGCAATCTAGTCTTTTCTGTATAAGCCACTCGGTTATCCGGCCATCTGCTGAGATACAGATTAATGTCTCTCTTTTGCCATCTCCTGTTGCCCCTCTGTCCTGTTCCACCCACCTCAGTTGCCATATAGGACCCGTGTGTTTATTTGAGGATTCCCTGGGACAAAAGATGCACGTGATAAATCATACATGAACAAAGACAAGACAGTATATTTGAAAAATAATCAGCCTTCCACTTTGTAAGAAACATCAAGTCTCAATGACAGAAGTGTTTAGCTTTTCTTTAAAAAAGAAATCTGAACGTTGGCTGTTTTCTCCAGGAAAATGTTCCTTTTATCAAACATGTCTGATATTTAGTTTCAGGGCACTGTTTATCTGCTGACACACCTTTCATCGATACCTGAATCATGAAATCAGTCTGCACCTGTGGAGCTGCCCTTAGGGCAGATGTCTCCCTGATCACCCCCTCACTCTCCTTCTCTTCTGAATTCCTGCTTATCCCTCACCTATTCGGATGTTCTCTCCGTTTTGGGCAAGTGGAATCAGTGAGAAAACACCAAAGCCTAACACTGGTCTCCCTTAAGGATTTATTACCTGGGGCAGGATTGTCCTGGTTAGTTCAAATGATACATGGTGGGAACTTGCTGCATTTTCTTAAGAAGTCAGAGCATAGTACTCGTTTGTTTCACCTTTCCAACATGAGGAACTCGCTTTATGTGCACAGTAACAGCACAGAGAGTTTCATAAGGAGCAGTGGTGTTAAAGTGTGTAAACATTTACCACAGAAATAAGAACAGAGGGTGATGGCAGCGTCCGAGGGTTTGGCTGTATCAGTGTGAATAGGTGGATGGGAGAAGCCTGGCTGGCTCACTCTGACCCTTCCAGGCATTTATGCACTGTCATAAATTTTTGTGTCAGTAGTTTTGCTCCAGAAACTTCTAGTATTTGAGGTTATTGTTTATGTAGGCATTTCCAATCAAAACTTGGAGGATACTGACAAAAGCCGAAAATGGAAAAAAATTGCATGGCATCCCTGGCATTCACAAGCCTTACTTACCAAGACTGTTACTATTCCCTCAGCTGTGGCTGTTCTTTAATTTGTTATTTGCTCGAATGTGACCAGGCTGGGAGGAATCATGGGGAAATCACAGCCTCACCTGCTGTCCAAAAGCGCGGCGTCCTTACAACTCCGTACGTTATAGATTGCGACAGAACCATCGTACGTTCCAACTGCTAAAAGATTTGGGCTTGCTGTAGAAAAATCCAAAGCAGTAACACCATGCTCACACCGGAAAATACGCTCTGGCCACTGACCAGTAGAAAAATACAAAAATGTTATCAGTTAGTTTCTTAATTTACCCCAGTCTTCTCAGCACTGGATACTAAATTGTCAGGCTCTGCCGGAAAATTGGGAGTGTTGATGACCACAGTCGCTACTTCTAGACAGAAATTAGGTGCTATATTCTAAATGGTTCAGTTTATTTCTTTCTGCAACTGATAAAATTAGGAAAAAATAAAGACTGTGCTGAAATATGACACTGTAAAAGAAGTTAGATGGGCCTACTCCAAACGAAATACCTAAAAGTCAAGTTCCCTAAGATTCAGCTGTGTGAGTACAGTGTGAGGGTTTTGATTCTTTTTTTTTTTTTTCTTTTTAAAACAAACTTGGCATTTTAGAAAATTTATCTGGTTGTTTGCTATCTTGTAATATGAAAGTAAGTACCTTTCTGATTACGGGCACTTAGCTGAAGATAAAATGCAATCTAACATCCTTCAGGTAATTTGTAAACCACGATTTTCATGTGATTTCTGCATGTAACCAAAGAACTGATTCAGCTCTTGTTGTAAGATTGAATCCTTAAGGTCACTGCACCAAGCTCTTGAAATGGGAAACAGTAGAGCGTTAGTTTGCAAAGAACTGCATTTCAGTGTGTGTGCCAGGTCTTATTTCTTGATGTCGGGGACTATGGTGACATCGGGGAATTAGAGTATTTGATTGTTGTTAATGTGATAAATATGCAAAGACTCAACTCTGCATGATTTAAATTAATAATGCAAAGACTCAACGCTGTGTGATTTAGCTTAATACACAGTTTTGGCCAAGTGAAGTTTGTAGAACAAATCAAACTGAAGTTGTGTAATTTGAAGGCAATCAGATGGGGTTTACTGTGTTACTTTGTAGCTGAGATTTCCAACATTTTTTTTTTTTAATGGATAGTTTGAAAAGGATCGGCTTTCAAAGGGATATGTAAAGGTGTAAATGTTACATCTACAAAATCTACTGTCTTTTTGACAGTAATATGAGAAGTTAGATTAGATAATTATATTATATACTTTTTTTTTTTCCTTCAGCCTAACAGAATTTCATGGTACAATAGAAAATGTATTGGAAAGGATAATTTTTAAATTTAAAATACATACGTTCTCTGTAATGAGAGTTTGGAATTATTGAACAAAAGTTCTGTAGATTTTGAAAACCAAAATATAAATGGATTTATTTTCACATTTGCTGCGCTCAAGACTTTGCCAGTCTAAAAACCAGTTTCTACACACCTGGATCTACCCAGAGTAATAACAAAATAGATTTCCAGTCTTGGGTAGGTCATCGTAGGGATTGGAAACGGGCTACCAAGATCTGCGTTGCTAAGTTGCCTCGCACAGACTGGTACTACCCGAGAGCTGTAGCCATCTGTTAGTTGTTTGGTGGCCTGTGTGCAGTGAGTTTAGTTCCTGTGAACAGATGTCCACGTTACCAAACCACCAGTACAGTCGGCGCTCAGCGTCAACTGAGAGGACGGGCGGGCGCAGAAACTAAACTGCTTCCTACAGGCGCTTCCTTTGGGTCGGGATTTAAGCACGTTGCTAGGTACTGCAGTCGGAATCAATTTTCCAGAAATGTGTGGTTTGGGCTAGCAAATTCAACCTTACTGGCTAGGTCTTGCTTTTTGAAACGGGCAAGGGGAAATAAATAAAGCAGAAATAGTACAGCAGAAAAAGGCATTGAAGGAAAACAAACTGGCTGCTCATTACCATGGGGTTCTTCAGTGACCAACAGCAAGCCAAGCCTTTCTTCTGTTCTTTAAAATTAAATGCTCCATAACCAACAGCTAAAAGATCCTAAAAGATGAACACATATATCTTAGTTTAAGTTGAAGTTCAGTCGTATGTTTTTAAAAGGCAGCTTTCTGCTAACAGTTGCTCTCAGAGCTAAGTCTGGAGAAATAACGCTCATGTCATAGGCAAGTAGAGTCACACACAAGAAAAACACAATTTCAGAATTTCTAGAGTACTGGAAACTGGTTCAAGTAAAAGTGCATTCATAGCCACTATCGGTTGTGTTTGCAGTCCCCCCTCCCTGGCCATCATAAAAATAATGTCTCTTTCCAGAGATGAATATACATTGTTCTATAACCACATTTTAATGTGCAGTATTTAATGGAATAGGTAATAATACTTCCACTTCTCTCTCTCAACATTAGCTGTAAAAGGAGGTTCAGCAACCACATCAAACTCTGAGCTTTTAGCTCTCTGCAGTGAGTCCAGTGAATTCCATTTGTTCCTTTTCATAAGCAAAAGTAAGAAACAGCAGCAAGACTTCAGTCTTCAACTCCTTTTATTTTTTTTTTCCTACACACGACAAGTCGTTTGTGAAACTAACACTTTAAAAGTAGGCATTTGTTTGCCCTAGAAGTCTTAAGACTGAAGTCTGTAAATGCAGCCAACTTTAAAATATCTGGGGATCTGGTGTACTAATAGTACAAAATGGTCTTTATTTTTTCTCTTTTTTTCCCTTGGGGAATTCTTATTGATTTTATGTTTCTCATCTCCACCTGCTTTTTACCTTCCTTCCATTCATTATTTTTGTTGTGGCCATAGGAGAACTCTGCTGGAAAAAACTGAGCCTTGCATTGCTCTGAAAGTGGAGGTGGCAGAGTCATTCTGACCCCCACCAAAACAGTATTCAATAAACCTGGGCCAGCTGCACAGAAACCTCTGCTGGTTTTTATGCATCTCACCCTTAAAGAGTTTGATGAATGCTGCTTTTTTGGGAATTACTGTTAGAAACAAGGATGTGGTATCTAAACCATCATGAACAAACTCCATCAATGGTGATAAAGTTTAATGGTAGGAGTTTACATTTCAACTTCCAGTTCTGTAACAGACCAAGTCTGTTATCTTAACATTGTTGTTCAGGTGACTGCCCATGGTAAACTGGACCAATTAAATTAAATTCTGGACCAGTTAAAGCTGTTGTGATACACTTATAGGAAAGGCCTAGTGCAGCTGTCCAAGCTGTAGAATAATGCAGCAATATTGTTATGTGGAAGGACAAAATACAGCGTGGGATGCAAAGGCAACCTACCTGACTGTTGGGGGGAATCCATCACTCTGACATCCCTCCCAACAAAGTACATCAACATCAGGAATTTATTTACACCAACAATTGCTTATACCACTTTGTAAACAGCCGAGAAGCAGTGATTTGTTAACTCACTGGGTTTGCTTTGCTCCAAGCCATAGTGCTCACGCTGTGACCATTAGTTAAATCACACATGTATGACCACAGCCATTCCAGTCGGGGAGGTACAATTTCTTCTGAGGTTTCCTTGAGATCTGACAGAACTGATGGCTCAATGAACCCTTCCTTCTGCTCTTCCTTCTTCTTTTCCTTGTCACGCTCCCCGTGTTTAGCTTCTTTCCTGGCTGCTGCTGTACCACTAGTGTCTGTTGTAACGCCGGGGTCTAAAATGCACAAATATAGTAGAGTCTGAGTAGTAACATTTCACATATCTAACTCCAGTCGTTCACATCAGAAGAAAAATTTGCTCTTTTGGCAAATATTTTGCAGGAAAAAAAAAAAAAAAAAGTGAAGATGCGAGGACTTAAGACATCCTAACTTCTAAAACTGTGGCTAAAATATTGATAGGGACATAGAAGGGGGCTGGATCAGGCTGTAGTGTGCCAGTTATGCTCCAGGTGTTTAATGAGTGGGTTTAGTTACCCAGCAACAACTTGGGAATTTATGTCTGCCCCCCACCAGGAATGTTTCTACTCTCTCATATTTAAAAATTTGTTTAAACAGGGATTTTTTTCAAGTTAGATGCCAAATTTTAAAGAGCCACATTTGGGCATTGATGCTGCCGCACTGTAACTAAGTTACATGATGCTGGAATAAATTGCTCATTGCTTGAGAAAATTAAGCATAGAGCATATTTTTAGACTCCATTTGCTAAGTATTTTTTTGTTTACTCACCCCTTTATTTTACGTAATGTGCAAATCATAGATTGATCTCCGATCACTGTTAACAAAACAAGAACACAATAACTGCCACGTTGTCAGAACAAAAGTCCTCCAGGCCAGTATCCTGCTCCAACTACAGCTAGTTCCTGAAGAGTGACAGAATGTAACAGGTTCACTGCCTGAGAAACTGAAATACTCTATCACACACAGAGGTAGGATGTGATAAAAGAAGTGTGGCTCTGCCTTTTTTTAGTGAATCCCTGTGTTAACTTGGAACTCCTGTAAAAGGTAAAATACTACTTAGTACTTGGGTCCAGGTAATGCCTCTTACAGCCTGCAGTGAATGTGCTTTGTGTTAGACACTGAACGTCTATCAGGCTAAAACTTCTGTTCACCATCAGTCTCCTTAGAAAAAAACCTGTAAAAAAACCTGTAAAAGACATTCCAATGCAAAGAATGGTTGGAGAAGTATCAGAATTAATCTGTATCTATCTGAACTGTCAGGAAACAAGTTTGACTCATATTTTGAGTAAGTCTCAGTTTGAGGTGATAAAGGGAGATGAGCCAGCTCAGAACTCATTTATTCAATTCTTCCACCAAGTATGGTGGGGATGGCTGTTACAGTTCACACGGATATCTCATAAACTCTCTCCTGCTTTATCTATTTCTTAAACGACTTATTGTCTGTAAAAACATTCAGTGAGGGATGTAACTTCATGACTTTTTCAATACCATGCAAAGCCTCGTGCTGAAAACGGGGCAGCCAGTAAGAAACAAACCTGTAAGGACAGGAAGCTGCCGATAAGCTGCAAGTTTGGGTTGAAAAATATTCTCCATTAGAATCCTCTCCATGAAAAATAAATCCTGCTGAAAGTTTTCTGAGGTTAATATAGCTTCTGAACGGCATTCTTCCTCTTTGTGGATTCTGGCAAGGACAGCACCTTCCGCAATCATTGTAGAAGTTGTGCTGTCTGACAACAAATAATATAGGAAAAAAGAGTTTTAACGTGATAATACATAAAAGTCAGGGGGGGATTTCTTTTCCTCCTCCTCCTCCACCTGCAAAAATCATAGAAGAAGCTATCATCATAAAAAAATACTTCCACTATTAATTTTTCTTGCTTTGTTTTCCTTTATTGCTCAAATATTCAGTATGATGAGATACTTCTGGAATTTTCCACAGTTAGTGTTTTGCTTCTACTGTCCTAAGTGAGTTAGTACCAGCAAACTTTGTCATGGATTATTTAAGATCATTTTTGACAGCACTGTACAAGATTCTTTAGCAAACTCTCTTTCAAGTGCCAGACAGGCAGACCAAGCACTTTCTTCACACAACACAGTGATACGTATGGTTTAGGAGGATGAAAACATGGAAGAAATGTAAACCTGGAAAAATGTTACCTCTGTCAGAAGAGACAGACGTAGTCTGATTGTGGGTTTTGGGTGTGTGAGATTTGCTGCTTTTCCCAGTCGTAGCTCTGCTACCTTCTGCTTTTGGTGCAGGTTTTATTTCTGACGGGTTAAATGAATCGTACAAGTCCCAAGAAGTGGCCATCAGCCCTAGAAATGAATAACACCCTATTATGAAAGTTTCTTGGTTTGATCCATTATCATAAAGGACCATGTACAGCTGAGCAGAGATTTACTTTTTGTACTACACTCTGCTGGGCAGAGGGGCACACAAGGCTGTAGTGACAGCTGCTTTGTGATGGCCGCAGCTGCACCGGGGTCTTCTGGGTGCGTGGCTCCCCTTCGGAGGGGCCATCCGCCCCCCCAAACAAGGCTCCACAGCCTCGCCTTTGTGCGCTCGGCTTTTCAAACGTGGTTGGAATGAGCCTTGCTGGTGCTCAAGGCACACAAGAAAAAGGTTTACAAATCAGATTCATGTCTATTTTCCCTTTATTCTTTTCCACTCATTTTACATACGCTAGCAAACACAAAGGAAAAATGTTTAGAACAGCATTCCCCATAGTTTTCTTTGGCCTCCTACACAAAAAAAAAATGTCCGTAGTGAGGCAAAGCTCAGCACGCACATCTAAAACCTAGATACTCCTCTGTAATTTTCTTAGAGCACTGAGGTTGAACATTTTGTAAAATTGCATCTATCTTGTGAGACTGCCAAGATTTTCTGCTTTCCCCAAGATTTTAAATCTCGTAACAGAGGTTTTCTTCTTTGCATTATGGCAACTAGAAATAGAAACCGGTGTCACCGCAAAGTTAAGGGGAAAAAAGGGAAGTGTGTCTTTTCATATTTCAAGAGTGTAGCTGCGTATTAAGTGAAGTTCTACCTCCTGAGAAGCAGCTCTGCTGTCAGAGACACAGCAGCTCCCAGCTACGTCATGACTATTTTATTGCAATGGATACAGCGCACCAGTACCAATGTTCGAGTTTTAGAGGGGACAGAAGAGGCCACTGCAAATCACACTAGTCTGAACCGAAAGCTCTGGAAATGATAGGTGAGGAAACATCTTCTCCTGCTTAGAGATGGAGGAAAGAAAAAAACCTTTTCCTCAGTATCTGGCCTGTGTGTGGGGAGTGTTCTGAGGCCCACGATCTAGCTGTATGCTAGTTTTCCCAAATACATATTTAATAAATAAACTAAATGCAATAATAAACCCAACTGCCAAGGGTACAGTGCCAGTAAATGAGAGCCTTTCCTACACGGTACTCAGAAAGCTTACCTTTATCTTCCATGATGATTTTGTCACATTGCACTTCCTTGTTCTTTACGGCTCCGTTAATGGTTTGCATCATTTTTTCTACAAAGCGATCATTGCCAGGTCTATTTTTGCAAATGTCAACATAAATCCTATTCCGCTCCCTTGGGGGTAAAAAACAAAAGTGTACGCTGACTTTCTGAAAAACGCTTGCATTCAACTTCTCGGTGTATTTAACCTCAAGTTGAACAGGAGAGGATACTTACTCCATGCCGTAAATTTAATCTTCAGGGGTTTTTTTGGATTGTTAGATTTTATTTCAGTCTATGTGTCATCTTTCAGCAGCTATTTCTGACTTGGGGATGCTGTTCTAAACCAGAAATGGCCTGTAGGGCAGCAAAAATCCCTACTCCAATGACCTTTGCACTTTGGTGGAACTCAAGAGTTCAGCCATACGTAGCTCTCATCGCTTGTGAGTGAATCTAAGAGACAAAAATTAAACTAGTACATTTCTGTTTCGTCCAGCCCTCAGGTTCTGTAGGAATGGTCAGCAGGAATTGTGAAATGCTTTCTATGATTTTGGTTTCACTGTTCTAACAGCAGACCTAGATATATTCTGTGCTCAGGAAGCATTCCTCTTCCCATACAGTTGGCAATATGTGCTGCGTACACCAGCTAAGTCTGATTCAGAGGATGCTCTTCCTCTTCCTTCTCCCCCAAAATCACAGCACTGTGATTCACAGATGGGGGGGGCTGGAGTCCTACCGTGAACTTTGTGTGTATACTAGCAGGAAAAACTCCCTTAACTAAGTTGTTTGACTTGCCAACTGCACTATGCTGCATCTCAGGCTTTGGGGCTTACGTCTCCAAAAGCTGTGTGACAAGTGTCTCAGTCTGACATCCATCAAGGAGAGAACTTTGCTGCACTCTGTCCCACTCAGCTCCTGGGAGAAAGCCAAAAAACTGGGTGTTCTGGGTTAACTCCCTACCAAAGTTCATGGTAGTCCAGGGAGGAGACTCTGAACTGGAAACACTAGATGCCACTGAGGGGAGATGCAGTATTTTAACAGGCAAGGTCGCTTGCGGTGGGGTGAGGTTTCTGCTAGCTAGAAGCACTGTGAAGAGCTTCAGAGGAAGCCAAGGCCTGCCTAGTGTGCTTATATCTCTGTCATTAATAAATGATTAGCTGTAAAGAAGCTACAGGCAAGAGTCAGTGCAGAGGTTTGCAATTTCTTAGTGTTTCCATTAAAATTAAATTGTGTAATTCAGATATACCACACTTCATCTTTTCTTTCCCCCATCCTCTGTGTGTTCTCTTGTCACCATCCCCTGCTCTTGCTAATCTTCCTTAATGGATCAGTAAAAGAGGGGGTGAGTTTGATCAACAAGATGGGGGTTGTAAGGAATTCGGGCTGTCTTGTCAAAAGAGAGACTCAGGCCCAATACAGCTTTAAACAAAGGTGAAATGATCAACTGTAGCAGTCAGAACGCTGAACCTGCACATGAGCAGCCTGGTCAGGACTTTGTAATCAGCAGAAACTGGGTGTGCTGAGCATACTACAGGCACGTACGCAACGACCAGCATACATACTGAACTCTTCCAGCATCTTCTGATTCCACGGACACCACAGCAGGTGGCATAGCCAATATCCAGATAATTTCCGTCTCTGTGAGGTAAATATCCATTCTCCTCCCTAAGTCTTCTCTTGTCAGTTCTTCTTTTATCTCCTCTCGCCTCACCTGCACGTCTGAAAAATTAGATGGGGTTAACAAGAGAAACCTTTTCTGCTCTAAATTTAAAAGCAGTCAAAGTATTTTATAGCTAAAAGCCAAAACTTGTGAGGCACTGGGTTGCTTTGAAGCGTGGGGCATCTCGCAGGCATGTGCTGCGGTGTCTCACAAATCACAGTGCTCCAAAGACCAGTTTAAATCTGTAATTATACTGCATATGTTCTTTACCAGATAAGCTAACAGTTGTGTCTTGTCGAGAGCCAGGTTCTACTATTTCGTCTAGTATGGACTCCGTTGTTGATGCGTTTGATACGGAAGTACTGCTGCTTCCATACGTCCTTCAGTAACAAAGAAATAAGCAGAAATAGTGTGTGAGAGTCCAGATGTCAGTCAGCAGAGCACTACAAAAATAGCAGCACTGTTATCAGGATCAGCCACAGAAGACTGCAAGAGCACATACAGGGATGCTCACGTCGCGAAAGAACTCACAGAAGGCTTAGGAAGGAAAATAATGAAATGGTTTAAAAAAGATTTAAAGAGGAAGAATTCCTCTGACAGCATATCCTGAGGCATTAAATAGCTGATGGAAAAGAAGCTGTTGAGCTTTCAGATTTTCTTAGCATATAATAAGGGGAGGCGTTGGCTACACATACCCAGAGACAGGGCTGCTCTCAACCAGATCCTTTGGTGCTTTGCATGTGCTGAAATGGCTTTGAAACGCACAAGAAACTCGGTTGAAGGGATTAGCTTGTTAACAAAAAACAGGTAAGGTTCATAGAGGGGATAGCTGTGATGATAACTAGAAGTAAAACTCAAAACTTAGGTACCGTTGGGAGGTTTGCGAGCAGATTTTTCGCTTCCTCAAAAGCTAAGTGTGAACAATTAGACAAAAGGCACGGGAAAAAGACAATTTTTAAGGTTCGTATTTAAAACTAATTGATTTCATTTTGTCTTTTAAACGAAGAGGGCTTGTCTCCGAAAAGGATGCGTTTATTTTTCAGGTGATACTTTGTATTTTTTAGGCATTTTTTGTGTATATTTGCTCCTGGTTACTATCCCTACCTCTGAGATGATCCTTTTTAATAGCCAGCCTAGGAAACAGGACAGAAAGATAGTTCTTAAAGAGCAATCTATTCTCCTCAGAAATCACAACGGCATGAACTTTGCCAAAGAAAACAGTAAATAATGCTTTTCTTTAACTCGCATTTTTTTCCAGTGCTGACTTTACTAGTCCCCTTGACTAAACAAATAGCATCTCCTCTCCATACAATTTGGATGTGTACACACCACTGGATAAAGCAATGTGGTTCATTATTTTTCATTTGAAACACAAATAGTTATTTACCTTCTTTTCCATGACTTAATTGAATTTGTCAGCCTGAACATAAAATGGCTCGAGTTCATTGACTTCGTTTATTCCCTCTGTACTGAAGGTTTGTAAATGAAATCCAGTAAGTTGTGAAAGATGTAATTCAGCAATTTTAATTCAGAAGCTTTTGTAGAAGAACATTTTTTGAAATGGATGCACATATGCACACAGAGGTAACTTGCTTAAATTAGTTTAAAAGAGAGGATTCTTACTATGTTAACAATATTTTGATATTTGAACTGAAAGAGTCAAGTTTTTAAAGAGGGTTGTCTGTATTGAATAAGTATCATTAAAACTGACAAAATACTTTAAAAGAAACATGTAACTCTCTGCTGAAATCAAACCTTTTGTTTCCAGAGGATTTTTCCATACCCTCAGCTAAGCAGGTACTGATAGATTCCAGTTTTTGAAAAAAAAAAACCATGCTGGGGAAGGTAGAGAGTATCTTATTGAGGTGCAGATGCCCCTTCGCCTCTGTACAGCCTTGCTCAGACAACCAGAACACAACTCCTCTACCTTTAAGGCAGCATTGTGTCACACAGGAGTGTTCCATCATAATTTTTATGCAGGCCCAACCATTACAAAACCTGCCGTTTGGGTGTCTGCCTTGCTGAGCTGTGAGGTATTCGTCACCATCCCTAAAAATGGGCCATTCTTTTATGTTTTATTAAAAAAATGTGGTTTAGGAAGGAGAACTGGAATAAAATGGGAAATACCACAGAAGTGTGCGTTGCAGTCTGCTTTCACGTGTATGTATTGGCATGGCACAGTCATGAGCACTGACAAATTCCATTCATTCTATTTGTTACCGTTCCTCAAAATCTAAAGGAAATTTATTTCCTTTTATTGTATTTTGGCAACACAATATCGTTATTAACCCTGCACAGTTATTCCAGCTCCCAACCTCTGAAGAGCCAGATGTGTGGCCATTGCAGGGTAGGAACTCCGTGAGAGTGTTTAAGAGACAGCGTATTGACTCACCTTGAGAGCAAACCTAAAACAGCGTTCACTCCTGATGTCTGATGGGTGGAAAAAGAAGAGAGAAAACCAGATCCTGTGGCCCCGAAGTAAGAGCTTGATGCCAAGAGTTTGCCCTGCCTGGGTACAGCTGCAGTGGGATCTGAATGGAAGAGCGGACGGGGCGTCACGTCCTTTCCCTCATCGTCAAAAACCTGAAGAAATATTTAAATTATGATAATAGTTTTACTGTGTTCCCAAAACAAGCGATAGTGATGACACTTGCAACGTTTTATCTCATCTGGAACAAAAAGAAGACTCTGATCCAGGCAGGAATGTGGCAGAACAGATAAATAACCTCTCTCTGCAGATGATGCCTAATATAGCCCAGGAGAGGGGCGAGGGGGGTTGCATTCCCACCTTCCCTTCGGGGCTCAGCCCTGAGAGCGCTGTCACCTTTGCCTGGGACTTCTCTGGAACTGTCTGTATAGGAATGGCTACAGAATACCTGCAAAAACTGTGTTTGTCTCACTGTCAGAGCCACTTCTCCTTCATGGTCAACCCTGTTGTCTTTTCTGGCTTTTTTATTCTATAATCAGTACCGAGAGTGGCTTATGGACTGTAACTATTCCTGTCAAATTAACAGTACAGCAAAAGCAATTACAGAAATAATTACACGGGGTTTTTTATTATACTGCTCAAAATATTTTATTGTAAGAAGATGTTCAGTAAGGTCCTTAACTCTCAGATTATGTTACGGGAATCTTCTGGTTTTTAGGTAAAGACACAGTGGTGCTACAGTCAATATATCTCAGATCTGAAAGCACGTAGTTCTCAGATTAGGAGGGGAGCTGTCAGTCTAATTCTTTAAATTATTATTATTATTATTATTGCAGATTGTTTTTGGACACTAATCATCTCCCTTTCAGAATGGATTAAGCTCTTGGGTCATTCTCTTTCTCCACAGCTCTTCAACCTCAGACATGCCTTTTCTTTCCTCCTCCCTCTCCCACTTCCTTTCTGTCAACAAACCTCCGCAACAACTCACGTTTCAGAGTTTTTAGTGACAGCGTAAATGGCTTCTCACCCGCACGCCGTGCGTGTTACCCACGAGAGACCCCCTGGCTTTGCCATCAGAAGTCACAGACTGGCTTCTGCAACTCGCTGCTCTGTTAGCGTGGACACTGCTGAGGATGCTCGCTCGTCTTTGGCCGCCTGAACTCGCTTCTGATCCTCGCCTTACCCTGAAATCAGTCAGGTTTCAGTCAACAGAATGCAAACAACCAAATACAAACCCTAAATTACTTATCGCTTAACTTCATGAATGGTTTAAATTTAAGCCGCTCGTTGAAACCGCGGTTTAAATTTAAACCATTCAGGTTGATAATCCTGAAATACTCTAATTATTTGCGAAAATCTCCGTTCAGTTTCAGCGGCGATAAGGAGGAGCGAGGCAGACAGGGGTGGGGGGCAGTGCCCACTCTAAAATAAAACCCCCAAAGGCATTTTACTGATTCTGGCGGGGGCTAAGCTTACAAACGGGAACTAATAAAAGGGCAAGAGGCACAGCCGGCATCTGCCCGCGGGGCCGGCTACACTGCCCCGGCTGCCCGCTCAGGCCGGACACCGGCCCGCGCCTCCCCCCGCCCC